GCTAAACCCTCAACTGAATTTTGTAATTGCTATTTTTCATCGCTTTTTGCACTTGAGTCTGCCACTGAGTTAATGCTTCGAGAAGCGTGTTGATCACCACGGATTTGTTGTATTCACCAATATGAGGGAAACTTCATAACTTAAAGTAGGGTAGACGGAACAGCATCTATTTCGTGAATCCACGGTCTGTCGAGAATCATATTGTATGCCATATCCATTTCTATCACTTGAAATTTGGTATCTTTGACTACTCCTTCTGCGAAGGTGGTGAGTATTATCTCCCCTTTTGTTATAACGCGCGAGTTGTCAAAACCAGACAAGGTTTTGGCTTGGATCTCATTTACCACTCTTAACAGAATGATATTTACGAAACTACATGGATCAATCAAAACTCACTTTACATTAGTATCATGTACAAGTAAAGATATTACCAGTGCATCTTTGTGTGGGGTCAGCACGCCATCTGCATCAGCATCATCAAATGTTATACTATCTTCTTCCAAAACTTGACGAACTTGCTTCCCGTGGGTAATTGTGATTTTTGACACCTTCTTTGCTGTCGCGTATGTTACGCCATTGATCTCCTCCCCTCCACTTATGACATTAACCATTCTTTTTTGTGATGGAGGTTTCGGCGGTTCTTGCCTATTCTTCATATATGCTTGCTTTCCCTTTTCACTAAATAATTCGGTTAAGTAACTTTGTTTTAATAGATGTTCTACTTCACCTTGTAGCAATCTGCAATCTGCCGTTTTGTGATCGTGATCGTTGTGAAACTCGTACCAAAAATTGGGATTTCTCCTGTTTGGGTTCGATCTCATTTCTTTTGGCCATCGTACTTTATCTCCCATGCTTCTTAAAATAGCCACCAACTCAGATGTGCTAACATTAAAACTATAACCACCAATTTTTGCTTTCGAACCTCTGTCGTCATCTCGGGTGTCTCGCGTGTTTCGATCCTTCCCGTACCTTGACGACGAACCTGATTCTCTGTCCCTTGACCTAGGGTTATACCTTGGATTTCCCTGTTTTTAACGTGAATCCCTTCCTGTTGGTCCCATATAAGGCGCGTACCTATTTTACCAGACCTTTTTTCAGTTTCCGCCCGCCTTGAGCTTACTCTTTCATCTTTTTGAGACTAAGTAATGGTATCTTCTTCTATCCGCAGCTTTGTGTTGTATCTATTGTAAACATCATTACAAGTTGTTGCAGGAAATTCTCGTAAGCTTCTTTGAGTCTCCTTGTGGCTTCCGAGCTTTTTTCATTCAGATTACTGGAAAAAGCCATAGCCGCCCAGTTATCGGGTACACGAGGCAACATTATCCTTTCACGCTGGAATCTATCTACGAATTCCCTGAGCAGCTCCATATCTCCTTGTTTTATTTTGAAGATGTCCTCCATTCTTTTATTAACTTTTTGAGCTCCCGAGTGTGCTTTTATAAATGAATCTGCAAGCTCAGCAAAAAAATCAATAGAATTTTCAGGTAAAAGAGAATACCATGTCAGCGCCCCCTTTGTGAGTGTTTCTCCGAATATTTTGACCAATACAGATTCAATTTCTTTCTTGGTCAAGTCATTTCCTTTTATGCCAGTTGTAAATGCAGTTACGTGGTCCCGTGGGTTAGTTGTTCCATCGTACTTTAGGATATCGGGCATCTTGAATTCTTTTGGAATTGGCAAAGGAGCGGTACTTGTCTTCCAAGGTTGTTGAGAGTATTTCTCCATATCTATTCCCCTGATTACTAGCGGTACACCAGGTATCTGCTCTATGCGATCGCTCTGCTCCTTGAGTTGTTTCTGCAAAGTTAGTACTGGACTTTGTAAATTAGAATTAACTGGGTTACCTGACCCTCTATCACGAGATTTACCGGGAGTTCCTCCGCCGTATGAGTTAACGAGTCCCGAGCGAGGATTTTCTATGGTTGCGGTGATGTTTGGAGGTGGAGTTGGTGGCACAGCCGGCAACCTGTTGACAAAATCTTGAAGGGCATTGCTGACATGTTGAGCGATTAATCGCTTTAACGATGCATCAATAGCTTGATTGTCCTCATGCTGGTCATTCATATTCGATTCAGATCTATCAAGAGTCCCCTCTCGAGATTGTCGAGGAGAGTTTTGCGTGAGGGGGATAGAGTTCCATCACCTTGTTGATTTTGATGATTCAACTGATGTTGCTGATTTTCTTGGTTTTGTAGGTTTTGTTGGTTGTTGTCGTTGGCGGTCGACATGATTTTTTTGCAGAAGAATTGATTTGGAAAGTAAAAGATTATCAGATTCCCGGTAACGGAACCAATTTGTTTAACCAAAAAATAGGAATTTCGGTCAAAGCTTATTTTAGAAGTACTCGGGCTACTGATAATCAAATAAAAGAATATCTTAGCAATGAAATAAGAACAAAAAATAGTAAGGCAATCGGTTTAAAGCAAAGTAAATAAGTATATTCCAATAATAATCAGAACGTGTCCCTAAAAATGTCATTTCTCCCTCTTTTATAGCTATTTCTAAGTACAACGTCTCTTCCTTCTCATAATCGAGTCATAATGAGCAATTAATGATATTAATAAAATATTATATTTGGCAATCGTAACTGTTTCATGAAGATTCTGTAACGTTTCTAATCATTCATACTCATTAATTGAAGGTTAACGAATCTGTACTTTTTGTTGTCTTGATTCATCCCATTGATATCTCTTTGAATTATAAAGAGACCCGAGCAACCGTTTATTCTTGTCTCTTAAACACCTTGCTCGTACCTATTGACACTCGCATCTCTTTAAGTATTCTTCTCCAGCTGTCGCTTCTATACTGATCCACGTGTCTTGCTACATCAGCCACATAAAATATTGCAAGTGTAATATTGATTTTCCCCAATACAGACAGAAAGATGACTTTCACACTTTGGATGTTATAGTTATCTTTACTCCGAAGTGCCAAAGGTCTTGATTGTGTGGGTCAAAATCTGACCACACGTGGACTAGCGCTAAAGGGAACGGTAAGAGGTCGACTAAGCTGTGGCCATACCCACAAGATGTGACAACGACGAGTATCTCGGCCACTGCCGAGCCAGAAAGCTTGAAAGGACAAAGCAAATGTCGTGATACTTAGGGGAGCGGCAAAAAGCGAGATGGGAAGAGAGAAGTCTCCGGTTAAAGACCATTGGACAAAAGGGAATACTGATGATATATATATAGGAGAAAAGAAGACAGAAAAGGGGACCTCTCTCCTACAGAGAAAAAGGCAGAAGAACCTGAGAAAGCTACAGGAGGAAAAACATGAGAAGTTGCAGGTCTCGGCGACACATCTTTGTAACTACCTTTCTTGAATCAATAAAGATTGATCTTGCAACTATCAACGGCATTCCCCCTATTCCTCTTTTGTTTCTACATCATGGAATAATATGTCAAGAATGTAAGCCTATCATTTATATTTGATATCTTATATGATCCTAGAAAGTTTATAAGCTCGATTATATCTTATTCTCTTATTCGATGTGCTTAGATCTAGAGTTAATTATCCTTGGCTAAGATATATCCTCTATTTTATCATTAATTAGTTTAACAAAAGGCTTAACACTTTTTGGTCAAACATTGACCTTGTGCTAAAGCACATTACTCGGTACTTTTTCCACGCTTCAGAACGATTCAATACTATAAAAAGATTTTAAATGTGTTAGATATATTAAGGTTTCACTAGTTCTCTTCGAAACAATAGTTTGGAACTTTTTGTTGTTATGGTAACTTTAGGTATGCAACAATTGTTTCTCTGACTTTCATTTAGCTCCGACAGACATAACTCGTGGAATTGGAGTCTATTGACCCTTTATATTTAAGGAAACAACAATTGATTTCTTTCCTTGAATTTTAACTTTTTACTACGGATACCTTAGAAGATAATTTAATGCAAAGTGATCATCCCTTCTTTAAGTAGAAGAAAAGTAGAGAACACAGCAAAGACTATAATGCCGTAAGTGCTAAAATCGAATTGCTTACAAGAGGAGGTTAAAAGTCTGAAACACAAGATTTCTTATGACCCAGAAAGGTTTTCCAGTCAAATAACCTAATTGGAGCTCATCATCAGATACGTGCAAGGGTAAAATTGCATAGCTTGCTGCAAGTATTATAATATACAAATTACAGGAAATGAACCACGTGAGCTTCAGAAGTAAACTATATTGCTTTGTTCCTCCTACCAGTAAATGATCTTTTGATTATTGATGACCTGGATGATAACGGGGTCAAAGTGAAGTGATCTAAACTTCGAAATGTCTGCAGAAGTAGATGGTTAGTACCTAATAATAAAGCTAGCTTAGTAAAATTTCGAAGTTTAGATCACTTCACTTTGAGAACACACGCAATATCTTTCCAAAGTTTAAGCCAGAATTGTCTAAAAAGAATAATTTATCATGTGTTAAAGTGCTCAACTTAAACAGGCCCTAATTGGAGTTTCTAAATGAAATATACTGAGAGTTTAAGGGACTATTGATGTATTCCGCCTTGAAAAAATTAGCGTACCATACACACCTAATGGGCCTTCTTTTTCCCTTTGCTATATGAATATCCATATGTACAAACTTCACAAACAAATTCGTCTCCAGTATGACTGGATTTGTTAGTGTTCATTAAATCATTTTAATCTACTCAATGCGATATACTCATAAAAAAGATGGTTACTTGTTTGCGTTTATATTTAGTTGTTGTTTTTAAGGGCTCAGCGCATTCAGACCTCACATAGCTACGGCTACACTTGAACTACAAAAGCTGCTTCTTATTGTGCTAGGCTGCATTTGTGGTTAGACATGTAACATGTTCCATAAGAATCTGACTATTACCTCCATCCCAACCAGGTCCTTTCCAAACCCTGGACCGCAGGACAGTTCATTTTCTTATTTCATAAACACATCAATTTTCATACTTGAGAAATTTTGCTCTTTGGACGTCGGTGTTGAAACTGAAAGAAAACGATAAGATCAGGTAAGCAGACTAATCCAACATCTTTGCAACTACGGTAAAATCAATGGAAGATTTTGCATTTTCATCTTGAGCTGACATTAGACAACCAGCAGCTTTTTGCTTGATGTATTAGAGTCCATCAAAGCTGACATTCAAGCAACTACCTTCGGCCTTCCTACCTTGACAAAAATTTCAAGCAGCATACCACTATATTTTTCTACTATTTACTTCTCCCTCTTTTACCTAGCTAATGCCTCCTTGCAAGAGGAGAGATATATGAAGTGTTTGAGAGTATCCCATGGTTACAACAACATCCTAATCCTTTTATCAATTACCGGTACCAAACAATAGGTGTTGATGTGTTCTGTGGCAGCTGAGTAGTCATACAATGCTGTTGTTGCCATGGAAGCAAACCTTCATTTAAACTAACTGCACCAGCCTCGACTGCAGTTCTTGGCTCAGCATTTACTCTGCTATCTTCGACATCCATCATTACTCCCTCCATCTCTTCAGCATCCATCATATCTGAAGTGTAAGGTTGAGGAAGGATTTGAGCTCCTTGAGCAGAAGGAAGCTGAGGTGGAACCCAGGGAACAACTGCTAGACACTCTTTTGTAGAACCAGAGTCCTCCTCTGGCGTTGCTTCATTGTGAGCTGGTCTAAATGCATTTGCTTGGTTTCCCCAAAAGGCTTGACCTGCACAACATACAGAAACAGGTTATTGAGTTTTGAAACTTCTAATGCCTAATCAAAAAAGAGCTCAGCAAAATATATATTTCAGCCAACTAACCCTAACTTGGAAAGAAAAAAGAACTTGGAAGATCATATGAATAATACAAACTAGAGCAAAGCTACTCATTTGGTTTTTTTTTTTTAAATCCCCGCATAGGTACTAAACTGAAAACACTAACACCTAATCAAACCAAGGAATAGACAACGAGAAGTCGAGAACCAACATCTCTGGCTCGGATCCACGTTCCCACTCAAATTCTAACTTTAAGCAATATCGCCATCACATTCATTTTCACAAAAAAAAAAAAAAGAGAAACCAACAATTGAATTCTAAAAAAGACAATTAGTTCTTTCAAATGTGTTATCAGTGCTTCTCATCAGGCCTGTTTCAATCAACTCTTTCCTCCAAATAAATCTGATAATATAGGATTGTGAATGTTCGTTAGCTTAGCTCCACAATAAGTTCATTAAGTAAACAAGATACAAAAAGAATAGTGATCACTAACTTCTTTTGACAATAAATTAGTCAGATACGAAGAAACTGAGCTACTTGGCCTCCACTTGCATTGACAAGAGTTATGTTTGAATTTAGGAAGTCCTAAAGTTTGCCTTAACATACCAAGCTGACTTAAATATTACCAGTAACTCCAACCAGCTCATCTTGAATTGATGTATCACCATATGAGTATTTACACCAAACAACCCTTAATAAGGTTGATCCATCAGCAGAACTGACAGATCAAAAGCTGAATTTTCTCTCTCATAACCTTTCTTCCAATTTTGGACAGAGCTTCACTATTACTTTCTAAGTTGTGGGGCGTAACATGTTTTCATAACAACACACTAAAGAAAACTTTCACACCAGCAACTTGATACTACATCCTGTTGACCTCAAGCTGATTTATGCAATATTATCATAATCTAATTAAACCTAATAACTACAGCTATATCTTCATTTTTAGCATTTGATGTTTCAACATAATGGCCAAATACCCTCTCATGGATGAACTAAATCAACAACTAGAGAACAGGGATCGGATACTTACTTTTGAAACCAGTAATAAACTGGGGATCCACCTTAACAGAGAAATTAGAAGGGGAATGCACAAGATGTGTGCTCATGGGCTTGAAAAGAACAATTGCCCTCTCATCATTCTCAGGCACACTTGGCAGTTCTTCAATCACTACACCCCTATTTACCCCATTGTTTCCAAAGCTTGGATCAGTAGCTGCTTGCGCAAAAGCTATAGGAATCTCTGGTTCAACCTCTTCTATTATGGGAGGCAACTCTGCGTCCTAAACATAGAGTAAATAGCGAAAATTGTTACCAGGAATTCTTCACAACCAAACTGAAGGTGATGAAAGCAATTTTAGTACATTTTTTGAGTTGTTCACAGTTCAATCAACAAACTGGGCTATAAATTAAGTTGAAACAACACGACTATGCCTCAATCACAAATTAGTTGATGTCACCTATTTGATTCGTCTGCATCCATTCTAGTCCAAAGTTGAAACAACAACAACAACAATAATAACAATTGCTTCAACAACAACTAACTTCAGTCCCACATGGCCAAACGATTTGAACTTTTGGGTTTGGGATACTAAAACAAGCTCAAGTGCTAATAACTAGGTTTGGAATTTAATATATGTACATATTTAGCGAATTTCTTAACATATACACGGGTCTGGTCTGAGCCAAAGCTAGGAATCCATATTTTACACTCTGCAAACGACTATATGAATCATCTAGGTGCATTCTACTCTATTTTGAGTTCATTTCATTCTAATACTCAATAAATTAAGTTGAGCATTGCATTAGTAAAATTACAAAACAATACAAAAACCAGCATATTGATCACTACTTCAACAGAATTTCATATACTTACAGAAGAAAAAAAAAAGCAGGAAAAATTTAAAAAATAAAACAGATAAAAGAGTATCAAAGGCAAGAGGATTACCAGTCGACGAATTTTTCTGGCGGGAGAGGAAAGGGAGAAATCGGAGAATTCGTCATAGACGTCATCCAAATCCTTCCTCTTCATCTTCAATGAATAATACGTCTCCATGTTTCTCTTTTAACAACAGCGTCCAAAACAAACCCTAAAATCTCCAAAATCAATTTCTATAAATTTGTGTTTCCTCTCAATCGATCAAAGCGCTAACGAGAATGTTACGCTTCACTCGGAGTAGAGAATTGGTATGTATATTATACGAATTGAAGTGAAGGAAGTGTGAATGTGGGGAATTCAATTATAGGGAAAGTGATGGAAGCTTGTGGTTATTTTCTCTAGATTTCTCCAGAACTTTGGTGTACAAACGGAAAAAGATTGAGAGAAAATGTGGGGCCTGACTTATTCGGGTCTGGGTCCCAAAGCAGATCTGAGATAATCCTTCAAATTATGCATTACTTTCGAAATATCTTCGTAAGCATAGTTTTTCAAATTGTTATATGCCCAATTCCATTATATAACCAAAAAAAAAAAGGAACTTGACTAACACATTTTCTTTTAGGGAAAGATACTGTTAATTGAATCCAAGCCATCAACCAATGAAAATTATTATATTTTAAATGGTAAATTAGGATACGAACTTATTTCTATAACTTATACATTTATTTGTTTGGTGCACGAACAATACGCATGGTACCTTGTAAGTATATATTTCTTTTTCATCTTTTTGGGTTCAACTTAGTTGGTAACAAAATTGCTCCAAGGAGGATCTTGATAAATATTTTATTACTTGATTAATTTAAGAGCTTCAGAAAAAAGCAACTAATCTAAGAGTCACTTCTGTGTACTCGATGGGGAAACTGGTATTGTATAGTCGCTCTAAATAATAATCGAAAAATTATATATTTTTGTATATATACATTTATGTATATTATATACAAAAAATATATAAATTTTTATATACTATTACGATTATCGAAGGTAAATAACTAAAAGTGATATTCACCCTACTCAATGACCGGTCATAGGCCCATGATCTATCCCACCTTCTTTACTAGGATCATTTGTACCGTATGGCTATTTTGTAAAAATGGTATGGGGCGCCCTATTTGGTTACCCTTTTTTAACTTATACCCATTTTANNTACCCCCCAAAATAAAATATTATTAATAGAACTTTTTTTCATGTTATAGATAGATTTTTTTTTTCATTTCAAGAAATGAATATTTTTTTTATGATAATATTTTTTTGCGCTTCTTTAAGAAAAGACTATTGACAAACTGCAGGACAAAAACTTAAGCATGTTTAGGCTGAAGTTTTAGCAAATGAACTAAAAAACTTTAGCTTGTTTAGACTGAAGTTTCGGATAAAACTCAGGACAAAACTGTAGACTGTGTTACAAAACTTCAGCATGTTTTGGTATGAAGTTTTAGAAAATGAACTAAATAACTTCAGCATGCATTAGCAAAAACTCTTTAGAAAATTACATACTGAAAGACAAAAACTTAAGCATGTTTAGTCTGAAGTTTTAGCAAATGAACTAAAAACTAGTCTGAAGTTTTAGCAAATGAACTAAATAACTTCAGCATGTTTTGTCTGAAGTTTTAGCAACTGAACTAAATAACTTCAGCATGCATTAACAAAAACTCATTAGAAAATTACATACTGCAAGACAAAAACTTAAGCATGTTTAGTCTGAAGTTTTAACAAATGAACTAAAAAACTTAAGCATGTTTAGTCTGCAGTTTTAGCAAATGAATTAAATAACTTCAGGATGTTTAGACTGAAGTTTCGGATAAAGCTCATGACAAAACTGTAGACTGCAGCCTGGATATATAACTTCAGCATGCATTAGCATGAAGTTTTAGCTTCAATGTGAAACAACTTCATGCTATATTAGCCTGAAGGTTTAGTTTCAACATGAAATAACTTCATACTACATTAGCATGAAGTTTTAGCTTCAACGTGAAATAACTTCATGCAAGTGTGATTTTGAAGATGAATCTGGATAAGTTTCTAATTTTTGATAAAGTTGCTGAGAGGAGAGGAGGAGATCTTTTTTCACGAATGAGGTTGCAGATCACGCGATTAATGCGTGATGCAGGTTTTATATCTTTTGTCAGGGGTATAATTGTCATATTATTATGGATTTTTTGTCAACTGGCTACCAATTCAATAATTTTTAAAATTAAGGTACAGGTTAAAAGGTGGCACAAATATAGGGTACAACTGCAAACCCCTCACTATTTTTAGGCTACTATTTAAATAAAGGGGTATTATCATTTCTAGCCCGCGCCAGAAACTATTTACATTTAGAGTGTGTTTGGTACGAAGGAAAATATTTTCCGAAAAATATTTTTCAATTTTTCCATGTTTGGTTGGCTTAAATGTTCTGGAAAATATTTTCCTCATGAACTCATTTTCCTCCAATTGGAGGAAAATATTTTCCCTATCAAGAGAAGGGAAAATATTTTCCAAAACTCTTTTTCAGCCTTCCCCACCCTATCCCCTATCTCCACCATCCCACACCATACCCCCACCTCTTCCCCACCCCACCCCTACCCAAAATAAAAATATTATTAATAGAACTTTTTTTCATGTTATAGATAGATTTTTTTTCATTTCAAGAAATGAATATTTTTTTTATGATATAAAAAAGTATTTTTCTTTCATTTTAACCAAAAAGTACTTTCTTTTCGTTAAGTAGAAAAAGTATTTTCTTTCATTTCAACAAAATGAGTATTTTCTTTTCATGATGTAGAAAAAATATTTTCTTCTATTTCAATAAAATGATTACTTTATTTTCATGTTGTAGAAGAGTGCTTTCTTTTTCAAACAAAAAAAGAGTATTTTCTTTATAGTTATAGAGCATAAATTTCAACGTTGTTTTGGGAAAAAAAGTAAAGCAGCACATTAGTTTATTTTGGGTTTGTGTGAATTTTTAGAAGAATAATTAAATTGTTAAAGAAAATACATTCCTGAAAACGTTGGGTATTTGGGGGGGGGGGGGGAGCAAGGAAACATGGGGACTTGGGGGAAGGGGGTGAGGAGAGTAGCCAAAAAATATTTTCTACTCTCTAACCAAACACTAGAAAATATTTTCCGAAAAAAGTTTTCCACTCACCAACCAAACAAGAGAAAATAGGTGATAAAAACATTCATTTTCCTTGAAAACATTTTCATGAAAAATATTTTCCTTTATATCAAACACACCCTTAGTAGCCAAAAAGATGTATAAATTTTGTGTAATTTTTGTATAAAACATACAGAATGTATATATATACACAAGCCTAAACTATTTCCTTTTCTTACCTATGTAGCCCAAACTATTTACCCGACCCACCCATTAGCTATTTGCATTCTCATTTGAAGTACAGAATGTTAAAACCATTCGGCTTCATTTTCGCAAGCTTACCTGGTAGTGGACTTGAATAGATCTACTTCTTCTATGCCAGATCGATCTTCATTAAGAGGGTCAACCCAAGCTATTGCTCTACCTCGTTTCCTTATGGTTTTTGTGTGTGTATGAAGACCCACCATAGTTGAGCTTGAAGCTCCTCAATTTGAAATTTATTTTGAAGATTTATTGTTTGATTCGATGTGGGTGCTATAAAATATTGCTTATAGTACCTTCAAGTAAGCTTCCCAAATCTGAATTTTTATGTGTGTTTGAATATCCACCGTTGTTGGCTTGAAGCTATATTTTTATTTTGGCGAAATACATAAACGACCTCTTTAAGTTGTCCTCAACGATCAGACAAACACCTTAGCCGACCCCTTTATCATTTTAACACTTCAAGTGTCTATTAAGCATATCTCGTAGACACCTCACGCTGACATGGCAAGTTACGTGTATTTTAGTTTGATTTGGGCACGTGAGACTTTTATCAGATTTTTTCTCTCTTGTTTTCAAAATTAAATTAAATTTTTTATGTGGGTCCCACACTATATCATTATATTTTCCTCTAACCTTTTTCACCCAACTAGTTCAGGCATCTTCTTCTTCCTCGTTAGCAGCCGCCTATTTCCACTTTTACACGACGAACCACCAAGCTTCAGCCATGGATAACCTTGAGGACCACTGGATTTGGCGTCACTTTTTTAGTCTTTGAATTTTCGAGTTCTTGATTCTTCCTATAGTTAATAGAGGAGAAAAATAGAAGAAATAGAGAGAGAAAAAAATAGAGTAGTGGAGCCTTTACCGGAGCGGTAGCCGGAAGTTTGACTAGAGCCTTTACTGGTCTTGTTTTTGCTTTTTGAGGCAGAAAGAGGAATCAAGAATGATAGTAGTACTTCACCGTATCAAACAATCTCATATACAAGAATAAAAAGATTCAAATCAGTTCCCATCCAACCCCACCATTGAAGCAAATGAACAAACATACAATCCTCAAGATTTAGTGCCTTAATACAACAAATAGAGAGAGGAATAGAGAAGATCCAACCGAAGCACTAAAAATTGGCAATAAGAACCTCGATCCGGCATCGGGTGATGGCGTCGATGCAAGAATAGGCTGCTATGGACAACAACAGCACACGAAGGCATGCTGCAAATGGAGAAAATTAGGATTTGATTAGTGATGATGAGATGGACTAGTTATAAATAAGGGAAAAGTCTTTTTATAAAAAAAATATTTTTCCTTTTCTTTTTGTTTAATTACTCGTGTCAGGTTTTTTAATACAAAAGATGTGTCGTTCTTAAATTGGTTCGTTTGATATATCACTGGCAAGTGAGATTCACGCATATGATCTGTTGTATTCGGGTATTTACTTGATACACCTAAAAACCACTTGAAGTGTCAAAATGGTAAAGGGGTCGGTTAAGGTGTTTGTCTGATCGTTAAGGATAACTTAAAGGGGTTGTTTATGTATTTCGCCTTTTATTTTTGAAGATTTCTTGTTTGATTCAAAGTGGGTGTTATTAAATATTGCTTATAGTACTTCTGGAAGTTCATACTGAAATTTGATCACATTTGAAGTTGATTTGAGGTGATTGAGATCGAATCTTTCAGTTGAAAATCGAAAAAGAACACAGTTACCTAATAGTATACTGCTACGATATACAATATGTTGTAGGAGTATATAGCTACACTGCAACAATATACAATATACTGCAACGGTATACTGTAATAATCGAATAAGAAACAGTTACCTAACGGTATACCATTACGGTATACAATATACTATAGGAGTATATAGCTATAATGCAACTATATACTATTATATTATATAATATATTGTAACGGTATATTGTAATAATGTGCAACATACTGCAATAATATGCTATAACAGTATACAATATACCATAATGGTACACTATTTTTAATGTAATACTATAATGTTGAATGAAGAACATATAATATTATTTTCATATATTGTATGCGATTTTGGTATATAATATATAATTTAATAGTATATAGTTTACTACAATC